TTGTGGCTTGGGAGAGTCCATAAAGTGAATCTTTGTAGTCATCCCCTTATATGATAAAGGGACGGTTCCAAACATCATATCACCAATCAAATCAATATTGTGAGCCGCCTATAATTAATGCATTAAAGTACTGTAAGTATAGTTACGTATTAAATTAATTAAATAAACTAATTAAACAAATGGCATAATTTTTTTTTTTTACAACCCAGAACAAGATTAATCCCTCTAATTCAGAATAATAACACAATCGGAGCACCAAAGTAATGAATAATATACAGCATATATTATCACACAGACTTATAAATAAAGAAGAATCAGATAGAATATCAAAGATTAAAACTGATCAAAGCAGATCAAAAATGATCAAAAAGCCAAGCGCGTCTCTATCCTTTTTATTTTTTCACCATCTAGTACTTTTTTTTTTTATGACAAAGTCAATCGTAATACTAACCTTTCTTAGATTACCACGATTTGATTGTGGTAATGTATTAGCATGTGATTGATTTGGATTTGGAGAATCCAAACTTCTTCGTTTACCCTCATCATGAGTAAAATTCTGAATACGAGAGTGAGTAGAAGATTTTATATTTATTGCGCTACTTGACTTTGGTAAAAAGTTTCCGCTCAGAAAATTAACACCACTCCAAGTTGAGGGTTCAACATTTGCATGATCCCGGTCATCAGAGGTATTAGAGGTATTAAGAGGTGTGGAATAAGCAGAATCGAATAAAATCAGCTTTGTCTTATCGCCAGTATCTTGACAGACAATTACTCGTATTTGATTAGTGTTGAAAGGCGGAGGAGACCAACTGAAATATCAATAATAATGAATTTCCGAGTCGATTTAAGCACGTGGAAGTAATAAAGAGCAAATTTTAAAAAATGTGGTAATATCTCTTGATCTATTCACTTTAATCATGTTATTATTAGAGTTTCCCACTCTTAATTACATGAAATATAAATGACCTAAACGAGCTATATCACAGACTTAACGATTTTTTCCTTAGTATTCGACCTTTTTTTTCTGAGTATAAATAGTATCTTGACGCTTTTTATTATCTATCTCATTACCATAAACCTTGGTATGTCCTATTCACTTGAAATAACCCGGTTTAAAATAGAGAATTCTTAAATACAAGATACATACGGGTCAGTTCCTAGTAAGGATTGAGCATGTTTGTCGTCTTCATTCTTAGACGTAGGCTTTGAGCGAAATAACTTTTGCAGCATAGTGTAAATATAAAAAAAAAAGAAACAAAAAAAAAGAAAAAAAGGACGAAGAAAAGCGTCTTCGTTCTACAATTGTTTAATAATTCATGATTGTTGTGATTTTTGTGAAGAGGAAATTCACCTCCGACGTCTAAAATTCGATGGGATATCACCATCGGATGATATTCCGGGGATTTTAACTTTTATGGTTAGCACATACAATAACGGTAATGATAACGATTTATTTGATAAGACAGTAAGGTAATTTGGTGGTTGGCGTTAAACTGCCATAATATTTAGCCCCTTTATGTGAAAATATTCTTTGCCCAAGAAATTAAAAGATATAAATTCACATTTTGTAATAGATCAATCCCATTTTTTTTAGGAAAAATAATAAGACAAAAAAAGAAAAAAGCGAATGAACCAAAATTTAATCACGAATAACAATTGTTTTCAAACAATTCTATATAGTTATAATGAAGAAGGAAATCTTACCTTATTATTATGTAAAGATTTCACAAACTAGAACGGAGAGCAATTCTAATCATCCGGATATTGAGATTTTAAAATATCTAGATAATCACTAACAGATAAGATCTCATTTGAACCATACAAGTCTAATGAAAGTAAAAGTTAAGAGTAATACTGTATAATTGGTTTTTGAATTTTTTACTAGATAAGAAAAGATAAGAAACTTAAGGTCCGTATTTATCGAGTAAATAAGAAATGCTTTTTGGAATAATCTTTATAAAAGTTGGTGCGCAAAAGACAAAAATTAATGCCAAAAAGGTGTTACATGTAATAGCAAAACACGTCTTATATATATGACTAAACGAAGATAAGCCCTTAACACCAACCAGTTACTACACGACGGTAAGCCTTAAACCGTTACATAATTACGTACGGCATGGGTGACGACATCTCGAACTCTTATATCGATTGATATCGGTATCCATTTAATAGTTTAATCACTATATATATTATTATATCACAAAGATAGATAGATTAGATCAAACAATATAAAATTAAAATTAGAAATTGGATTTAGTTTAACAATTTTGCAAGATATTTTATTTTTTGTGTACGTATATAGAATATAAAAATATTTTAAGTCATAAAAATAATTTTATGTAACGATATCGATAAACTGTATGGAGTTGGTTATATTGACCAACACATGATTGTTAACAAATGGGTGAATACAAGGCAAAATGAGGTTTTAACCGAAATTAAGATCTTCACTACGTCCCATCCCCAAATACTTGTCTTATTTAGGTTAAAAAATTTTATTTGGCCGGTAAATTACCATATCGATATTAGTCATTTATCTACGTCATCCTTTCGCTTTAAATTTAGATCAGTATACAATATGTAAATTATTAACCCGTCATTTAGCATAAATGTTACATGGTGTTAGAGATTCCGATTCAACTAAATGTTTACTACACTTTCTACATTATTATTTGCGATTTCATATAGAGTCGCCACTGGCAAATAAGAATGGATTTATTGAAAAAATTAGAGATTAGAACCGCCTAAATTTGTTCTGATCATTTAAACTAAAGCTTCGATCCTATTTTGGCAGGCAATCCGGATTCTATTAAATCCGGATTGAATCCATATAAAGCTAGCTTTGTAGCATATCCTTAGGTTCATTAATTAAGTTTTTTGACCAATCCGAGTAAAAATCTCTGATCTAAATATCTGAATCTACCTGAATTTAAAGATCAATTCAGATAGCCAGATTAAGGATCGAAGCTCTAATTTAAACATTTAACTGTACCGTTTAATTCGGTCACTATTAAAATAATTGTCTCGCCTGAAACGGCTGAAACTGGAGATTTTGCTGGTTCTACCACAAAATCCGACATCCAAAATGTCGAAACCATAATCCCGACGTGACAATTAATTTTTAAAGATTAGTGATCACATTAACAATCATTGTTAGACTCTAAATTTTAATTGTCACATCGCGTGATGTCAGTATTATAGCCTGTCGAGATTTTGGATGTCGGGATTTTGTGGTATAACCCTAGTTGCTGTATCTCAAAAACGCACGCACTAGCTAACACACGTCAGAGGTACTAAACAAGCGTCCTCCAAAACCTCACTCTAACTAAATTTAGACCTATATCTTAACTCCAAATTTTGCTTAAAAAATACATTCGGTGTTGAATACCACTGGTATGATTTAGTAAAAACAATTTTTTAATATGAAATTTTCAAAATTTTTTGGGCATTTTTTTGGCCCCTTTTTTTTATAGTTAGGTTATAATTTAAGGTTAGTTTTGTGTAGGATTCTGGTAGGGTTTGTATTTTTAAATAGAGGTTTCTAATTTCCATCTTTATAACAATTTTTAAGCAGTTAAATGGGTCTAATTCTTAGAAACATTCTCTACTCTGGTTACAGTATCTGGGTAAATTACTGTATATATGTTTGGATTATAGATTGTAACTGTTGAACTTATATCTAAATTACTTGGTTTATCTAAGTAATTTACTGCACTATAATCATAAATAATAATCTATAACTAGGTATAAATCTTATTTCATATTGCAATATAACAATTCTTACAAGATTCAATTTCTAATTACACTTGTATTAATATTTATTTAGATCAAAAAAGATTCTAATAACTTTCAAATAGAATTTATTAATATTAATATATTTAATTTCATCTTCATCTATTTGCATATAGATTAGAGAAATGAGAGCAAATTTTTATAAATTCTTATAATCTTTAAATAAAAATAATTTAAAAAATTTTGCAAACTTATAAAATTAGTTAAGATTTATTTGTTTAAAAAATTTATTAAAAAAAACTTGCTTGATTTCTATTAACCTACTCCAAATATATAATTTATACTTGTTTTTGCTTTAAAAAATATCTTCAAAGTAATATATATTTATTATATAAATAAATCTAACAAAATAAATATTTTTTAAAATTTAAAAATACAATTACAGTATCTAGCTTTCTTTTTTTTTTTTGGCATGTTCTGCTACTCTTTTATTTAAGATGTAAATTAAGCAAAAATTACAAGAATTCTTAACTAAAGTTACTATCTTTAACTGCAATAAGTGACTCACTCGACTTAAAAGCCCAGGTGCAACATCGTCTAGTGGCCGTTTGCCTCCCTCCGGGCCTCTAACTTCCTAGAGGTGTGAATCCTTTGATCATTGGCCGGTGTTACATGCCATATCAGTATCATCTTTTCTTTCAGAAAAAGTAGAACAAATACAAATTCAAAGGGCAAAAAGAAAAAAAAAGAGTGATATCTCGGCAACCAAATTCGATCCACCTATACAAATAAAACCAAATAACATATGAAAGAAAAAACAAAAACAAAAGAAAACAAAACAAAGATAGCACTATTAAATCCATGCTGGATTGTAAAAATTATATAGTACTACTAAATAACTAGACTAAACTTTACGCTAATTATTTATATCTATATTAGGATATATATAATATCCATTCTTGAGTAGAGATCCAAGTTTGAAATTTCTCTTTTGTTTCCACCATTCTGTCAGCACGGTATCCTGCAAGTGTATTCTCGTGCGATATGCATATTCTCTGGGCAAAGTATATTCGACACACAGGTCTCATAAATCTGCTACCTCTTGAGGGAACCGATCAGGTGCTTTTAATCCAAAAGTGTCCATGTACTCCTGTATATGACTTTCCTTTTTTAGCAATAATTGTTGTTGTTGATCTTTCGATAAGGGTAAGCTGAATTTTCCACTTTTTGTTGAAATTTCGTAAAAAACAGCGAGCAGAGTTTTGGTATAGAGTTTCGATTTGCAGGTAGCCTAAACTTCGATAGGGAGTGTGTTAAAAACTTGCTTGTTGTCTTCCTTTAGACCAACTATTTTTATTTCGTCAACAGAAACATATGCTTCTATTAAAATTTTCTGCACAAGGGCACCACCTCCTACCAGTTATCTTGTACAAGAATGCTTTCAACTTGCTTGCTGACTATACAGAGGAGTCCAGCAAAGATCTAGAAATTGTCTTGACCTCTGTAAAAACCGTTACTTGTAGTTGTCTCTTCTACTTTCTTCAACAAGTTTTCCATTTTCGTTAGTCGTAAGTTTGGTACAAGTGATCGTCAACAGTATCTAGCTTTCTCTAATAGCTAAAATAATATTAATAATATTATTAAACCTACTATTCTATATAATAAAAATAATTAAATTTAGTTTATATATTGTTATAATATTACTATTTTTTTTAGAAATAATAAAAAAATAAATTTAAATATTTTTTACTAATTTAAAACAGATAATGATTGAAGTTCAAATAGTTAAATTTAGATTTAAATATAGTTAATATTATAATCATCACTTGTTTTTAATTAAATTTTTTTTTAAAATTTGACAACCTTGTTGTGATCTTTTATTAAGATTATTATATAAATAGATTATATAATATTAAGTTTAATATTTAGATCTAATATTTTTTGAATATCTTATAAATATCCAAAAGCAGTTTGTTAAATAGGTTTAAAATATTTTTTTAAGGCCAGAAGCCTAATATTAAGTTAGTCGTACAAGTCATATCAAATGAATCTGCAGCTATTTTGAATTAAATTTCTAAAACTACTATACTAATGATTCTCTATATTTCTTAAACTCTACTTTTTTCTTTCTTTTTTTGTTTTTATTTATTTTATCTAAAGTACTATCTTTCTTTAAATCTCTTCTTTTTGATCTTGATTTATCAGATTCTGGTCTTGATTTTTTCTTTTCTACTAGTAGCTTGCTTGCTAGTTTTCTATTTTTCAAATAATTTGCATCTTCTTTTTCAAATATTCTTAATAAAAACAATTCTATATTGTGTTTAAAGTAATTTCAATATATATTTTTGCTTCTTTGCTCAATTATAAAAATTTTTGTATCTTTTTTCTTAAATTAAACCTTTAATTACTTTTGATCTTGTTTTGAAGAATTCTTTTTTTGACTCTCTTCAAAGTGCTTTTTCTAAAAAATCTTTGTTAGTTCTTTTCTTTAAAAGAGC